GTTTAGCTTCAGGGCTGGTGTTTAGCTTCAGGGCTGGTGTTTAGCTTCAGGGCTGGTGGTGCAGATGTCTTCACTGCATTCGCTGTGGATTTGACATTGTTTAAATTGTTCTAAAGGAAGTCGTTTCCACTTGCACCATTTTCAGATGGATCACTCGTGTGAGCACTTTTTAACAGCAGAACCTTTTGAACATGAGCCTGGACGTGTGTGTTCTCATTTCAGGCACCAGGCTCGCTGGTTTCCCTTCAGACCGCAGCGGCAGAACCTCCAAGGAGCAGAACGGGCCGGCGCTGCTCAGAATGAAGCGCAGAGGCAGCAGGACATGCAGGACATGGTGAGTTCAGGTCTACGGGTCGACTAACGTACGTCTGACCTGATTCTGTGAGGCGTTCAAGACAAATACATATCTTATGTCTCTTGTTCTTTGAGAAAATGCTTTCAGGATGTTTGAGCAGTTCTTGTCTTTGGTTTATCAACAGTTGCTTTTAAAATGAAACATTTGTGCAGAAATACGTTTGTTTCTCTTTAGAAAATATAAAACACTAATGACACGGCTCACAAACTGTACGAGTGTTTTTAACTTCTGTGCAGTTCTGTGTTTGTTCCATTCTTCTGACAGTTTCAGGTTAAAAGTTGAAGAATGTAAATAGTTCATTAAATTACAAATGTAGTTTTAAAAGCTGCTGCACGACCTCGTTCTCAGCCTCAGTCACTTTAATTACACTCAGGTTAAACATAAAATGTTTCCCTCCTGTCCCAGGAACGCATGATGGACGAAGGGATGGAGGATGATGACAGCAGTGAGGAAGGTGTTGGAGGTCCAGGAGACCAGGTCCAGGCTGCTGCTGCTCTCCAGGAGCCCAGCTTCCTCACCATGGCGTGGGCCTTCATCAGCACCTTCTTCACCTCGCTCATCCCCGAGGGACGACCACACCCGGCCAACTAGAGCTAGAACTCTGCCTCGTGCGGCTCGTCCTCCTGCCAGCAGATCTAACAGTTTCCCACCTTCACTTGGAAAAACATCATCTGTGCAGCTGCAGAGCGTCGATGTGGGCGTGTGAGAATAAAAACAGAAATGTTGCGCAAGTGCTTCGATGGTGAACATTGACATTTTTCTTTGTCGTGTTTTCGTGGGGACGAGGCGATGACAAGTGTCAGCGAACGAAGCACCTCAAGCTGTGATGACGTCATGCTGTTGAACTTTTATCAAGGAAAGAAAAAATATGTTTCCCTCATTTGAAAAGGAGTTGTGTGTCCTTAACAAACCACAACAAAATTCTCCTTCAAGACATTTTCATTGTGTAGAAGTACGTGCACTTTGTGTACCGTCCACCTACACATGAAATATGCATCTTTAATTCTTGAATACATACTTCTGGAAGAAAGTGATCTGTGCTGCACTATTCTGGTTGACTTTTGTATTTTACTCTGCTTTTCTATTGATGTCCTGAAGGTGGCAGCACACACGCGCACGGGTTTAGGTGAACTAGAGGGACGCTTTTTTCAAACCAGTTTTTGCAACACTAAACAGACACCTCTTTCCACTTATGCTAGAAAGATGTAGTAAATCTTCCAAAATTCTGTTTGAGCTCTACAACCCAAATCTCACTTCAAATTTTAAATAAACTCATCAGAACTCAAACTACAAGAACCTGACACAATGCTGTATTAAGAGGACAAACGATAATGAGGTACTTGGCTCCGCCCATGACACAAACGGTAATTGTCAGGGCCGACTTTATTTGTCAGGTCCATGGCCACGCACGTACACAAACATGAATTTTCTGTGTATTAAAAAGGCCAAACATGGATAAATCGAATAAAGTTGTCCCTCGCTACTTCGCAGTTCATTTTTTGCGAACTCGATGGGACATGACAAACAACTGGCTGATCGATGGATGGAATTTTTATTTAAAATGAATTATTTTAAATTATTTAGCACTTGCTGCACCTGTGTACAGCCCACACTGCAGGAGAAATTTCCTGCTGCCTCCCTCAGTCTCCATTGTGCAGCAAAGAAGTGGGCGTGGCTGAGAGCAGAGTTCATGACATGCTGTGCTCTTAGAGCGTTTAGAGCATATGTGTCAAACTCAAGGCCCGGGGGCCAAATGTGGCCCTCGTTGACATCTTATCTGGTCCCCAAGATGTTATCTTAAATGTAAAATACTTTTTTCACTTTCAATTTTTTTTCAGTAATGTTTGATTATGATGTCAAATGAGACCGATCAAACTCTTCTTGAGGAACCTGCAACCAAGAACAGATGTTGGTTTCTAACTTGAGTTAATGTAGATTCTGAAACTGGCCCTTAGTTTGAAAAACGTTTTAATTTTGGCCCC